AAAAAAAAAAAAAAAAAAACTTAAAATAATCAAATTCTATTTGTTTTATCAGTTTTAAAAATGTCTAAAAACAATATACCTATTTTATTCTTAACAGTATAAATGTTTATGAAAATTGTTTTATTTATATTTAATTACCATGAAAATAAAATAAATTTATACACAAATTAGATGTAAATATATATAATTTTTTAAATTTGTAAAAGTAATTTTGTATTATTTAATAGATGATTTTGTAAATTTAAGAGAATTTTTAACTATTGTTACATTATAGACAAAGAAAGAATAAAAAAAACAATTTAGCAGACAAAAATATTTTAATTATATTGAGCTTGTATACACTCTTTTTGTAACATATATTAAATATAATTTACATTGGTAAAAAAGACAAAAATTTTAAAACTAGATTTAAACAATATACATCTGAAATAATATTAAATGGATCAAACCCTCACTCAAACTTTGCTAAACACATTTTAAAAACTGAAGATAAAATTTCTCCAATTATAGATAAGACTAAGACTCATCATTATTAATGAATAACATAATAATTTTTAAACAGTTCATACAAAAAAATTAAAACATTAGATTCAATAACATTTTATAGATTTATTCAGACTATAAAATCAATACATTATTAAATTTTTTATATACATTATAAGATAATGTCCGTGATACAAAATATAACACAGTAGTCAGACTCAATTTTCACATATCAATAAACAGAAGCCTAACAACAGGTGTTTATATATTGTACTAATTTTATAAATTTTATATTATTTATTAACTAAATCTAGTAAGAAGTTACTAATACTTTTTTTTTACTCTATTTATTTATTGTCTATTTTAGTTTCATAATTTTTTAATTTTGAATTAGGTTTCCATCAAAACATAAAGAGTTGGAGTAGGTGAGAAGTGGCTTTGTATTTTAATTAAAACACATAATTGAAGATAAAATTACCAAGTGAACCCCTCACTCATACGTAAAGTTTAGATTAACTTAAATTAGTTTGACAAGTAGTTTTTTTAGGGGTCCGATGCAAAGCCGAGAAGGCATTTATTTTTACTAAGTCGTATTTTTTTTATGTCTGTTCATATGAATACTCTGCTTCTATTGAACTGATTTTGCTTAATGATACATTAAAAGATCACTAATCGTATCTAGTTATAGCTATCAGAACCATCATTTAGAAAAATTCCCTCGACTCTTATAATAAAAGGAAATGTTCCAAAAAAATTTTAATTATGATAAAACAGTTAATATTTATATTTTTAGTTTTCACTTTACATTGAAATAATTTTTTGGAAACAAGACAGGTTATTATGAAATTTGTATAGACAATATTTACATATTTATCTTGCTGACCACACACTTTTTTTGGAAATTCAAACATTAACCCAAGCACTGGGGGTGGTTTAATTATGCCAACATTTATTTCTTATTAATTTTTGACAATCTTCTAAAAAACTCATGTTTATTATACTTATGTCAAATTTAAGTTTAAACACAACGTGTTTTAACAAAATAAAAGAAATATTATACAACGTCAAAAACTATGCCTAATTTAGAAAATTTATTATACTACAGTGACTTGTATTATAAACAATTTGATTATAAAATTTATTTAATATCTAAATAATGGCGTATTTAGGACATTTTTATGAAGGCTTAGATAACTTTCTGAATGTAGGCTATCGGGGAGCTTTATACCTGTATGCCCTTACTATCAATATTTTATGTCGATAGGGAGTAAGTTCATATCCCATGGACTACTCTGTAAGATGGACCGGACTCACGATGAGATGACATTCCGTTTCATTCAAGCGATGGCCGACTTCAGCTGTTTTAACGAGTACTTGCACGGTATTCGCAAAGCAGCTGCGCCGACGTGTGACCACTGTTCGGATCACCCGGGACAGGCATACAGCGCTCTGCACACCCTCTTCCAGTGCGAAGCGTGGGCCCAGGAGTTTTTGGAGTTCCAACTAGGGTTCAAGTTTTGAGTCGGGTCTATGGTGAACCTGATGTTGGGGAGCCGGGACGCGTGGAGCATTGTCCAGGATTTCGCAGAACCGTCTTGAAAAAGAAGGAGGAAGCGAAACGCCTCAGACAGAGTTAGCCACGCCGCCCGGTACAGGAGGACATGAAGCGCTGGTTTTAGGCCGGTACCTTAGGCTTTGTGTTTTATATGTTTGTTTTTGTTGTGTTGTGAGTTATTCTTGTCAATCCGCGCGAAGTCCTACCCCATCTCCACTTGGTTCTATCCGGGTAACGGATATCATTCTAGGGTCCAGCTAACGGAGAGGCCACACCACGTTGTGAATTAGCTCTTGATTAATTTTGGGCTGATTTACAACGTGGTGGTATGAGTTATAGAGACGACGTGAGCAGCCCTGAAGTATTGCCTGATGGCAGTTTCAGGGCGGTCCATTATTATACCGGTTGTGAATAAAAAAGGGGACACTGCGTAAATGCTTTGTTGAACCTTAATAATAATATGTTGGCTATCATTTTAAATTTTTGATATACTCTAAAAAATTGGAATCCTTTAATTATGCCTACCTAAAACAAAATTACATTTAAATTTCGAGTGTAAATTATAAATTTAGCAGAAAATTGGTTCTGATACTGAATTGTTATTATATGATCTAAAGTGAAGTTAGGGCTTTGAGGTCTAAGCTCCCAAAAAATCAGAAAATTATTTGTAATGTGATATAAAAATATTGTTTGGCGAGGAAAATTAACTCCCCCAGATATTTTTCTAACTCCACCTATGATATAGTTTGGTAACATATAATATCTTACATGATTATATTTTAAATAAAATTAATTAATTGTGTCATCTACGTTTTTTTCATCATTACTAAAAATAGAGAATAGCACGAACAGATAACCTAAATAGTAAACATTCATTATTAATAATATATTAATAACAAAAAAACTGGTATTATTTTTAACAATCTATTAACATGCTTACCGAGAATTTTCCAGTAGTTTAACGATACAATCCTGATCACCGGATTTTATTGACGGGTTGCTATTGAGGCTGATATAATATACTTTGGTGCATTGAAATAAATTTTTTTTGAAACAAATATTTGAATTAAGTTACAAACTAAAAATTGTATCCACTAATAGCTTTATTATATGATATGATCGATTTTCATCATTTAATTAACCAGTAAAAATATAAAATCTCAGTGGGCTGAAATTTCTTTAAAAAACTTGCACCCCATATTACAATTTGCTTATTTACTAGAGTCTATTTTAAGCAGAGTAATAATGGAAAAATAAGAACAATAAAAAGTGATTTTAATTAAACTTTGAAAGTTTATTTATTTTTTCAAACTTGTATAAATGCTTATAAAGGGTTAAATTAAGCGAATGAAATATCATTTTTTTTATAAAAGTTTTACATAAAAATAAATAATAACTTAATAGTGTCTTTCACGTATTTTCATAAAATTACATGATCGTATATTATGAAAGAGTCAATGGGGGCAAACAATAGAGCAGATATTTATTAAATAATTTTCTCTTTATTGATTTTTAAATATCAATGTCAATTAAAACGAAAAAGATAGATTTTTTTGGTTATCATGCCTACTGTAATAAAAAAAAGTATTGACATTTAGGAGGAAAACTCCTTCTAGATTAAGAGTTCCAAGTATGGCCCTATAAACTTAGTAGCTAAATAGTAACATTAGCAGGCTTATATTAAGCCTTTGCACATACGAAATTATTAACGTTTCGTTGAATATAAGAATATCTTTAATTGCTACGACGCGTTAAAGATACACCTTGTAACCCAGAATTATTATTAAATAATTATGCCGTAAAAAAAGTTATTTTGAAACTCTTCCAAACATTTCCATATTGACTATTTATTTTTCGGAATACTTCATTTTAATTGATTAGCTTTTTCAAAACTCATTGCAAGAATAATTAATCTTTTATATTCCGAATTTGTTTCTAGAAAGTTGCTGTACATTGCGTTTGTCACTAAATCTCTCTAGAAATTAAAATATATTATCATAAAAAAATACTTGTATCTTCATAGTTCACTTTGAGAAATTTTTAAAAATTAAAAAGAATTATTGATCTTTTAACTACTTAATTTATTTATTTTATTAATCCATTTCAATCATTTCTTTTTTTAAAAGAAGTGGTTTATAATTTAAGTATCTCTTGATAAGTTTTGGAATTTATTTTATGATAATTATTTCTTTTATTAGTTTTAATTGATTTTTGCTTTTTTTTAAATTTCTTACGTAATCATTTATATTTTCAAAAAAGTAGCATGATACTAATAACAATACTATAAAAAATATAATAGTAGCGATAATTTTTATTGTCAGTAGAGTTGATTCTTGATACCCTTTCGATAGTAACAAAAATTTAAACAAGAATTTTTATAAAAAATTTAATTCATTAAAGTACCAGTTATAATTTTACCATTTAAAAAAATATTCTATTATAATAATTCACTAAGTAACAATTACTAAAGTTTATTATGCTTAATTATTTTAATTTAAATTAACATAAATTTAGAATATGTTTTAATTACATTTAAAAATTTTTCCATTCAATTTTTTAAAATTATCTCTAACTGTATGGAGACTGCTAAATAGTGAGATGCATGTGGATATAACTATTATATCAAAAATCAGTAAATATTGAATTAGGAGAATACTCATCATTATTTCAACATGTCGCAGGAACAGATAATTTTTATTGTATGTTTCGTTAGATAACATAAAGTGAAAATTAAAAGCATTGTATCGATATTTTTCGATAAATCCATTTCAATTTTGTACAGTAAAGCTTGTGATGCTGTTAAAAAGAAAAGGGGTTAATAACCCGCTCTAATGGATATAATTGTCATAATAAAGTACACATAACATACATGATGAGATAAAAATGTATACTTTTGAAATATTCTTTGATCTCTTTGAGAATAAGTCATAAAGTCATTTTGACAAACTTTAAAAAAAATTTTAATTTTACTTGAGTATGTAATTAAAACAAACATTTTGTAAGAGCTTAGCCTGCGTTCAAAGAGAGCGCAGTTTGCAAACATAATTGCTCGAAGCTCATATTTCAGTAGTATGATTCACACAAATTTAAAAAAACTATAAAACTGTGAAATGCAACAGTGAATAAATAAAAAATTTGATACATATTGTAACCATAAAATTTTCTTCTGTATTTATCAAAAAAATAAATAAATCCCTAAAACTTCATCACATTTAAATTAAAGATGTTTTGATCATCACTATGTTTTAAAGTCATCTTATATTCTATGACCTATTAGAAAAAAAGGACAATGAAATATAATTTGAATATAAAAATTTTCATTGCCAATTAAAATTATTTAAGAATAATATTGTAATGAATATAAATTTTAACAGTATATTTCGATGTAATTAGTGCAATGTTTTAATATGGGCACTGTTCTAAAAGGAATATACATTTATCTCTAATATTATACTACAATGAAAAGAAAAAATCTTCAAAGCGTATATTTTTGTTCTAAAAGGTCTTCATATCTCTTCCTTATTCTTAACATAATGACATCCATGACAAGTAGTAGTAAAATTTAATATTTTAGAAGAATTTAATTATTGAATTAGTTTAAGAATAGTCATGAATATCTTAGGTAGCTTGTTTGAAAATGATAAATATTTTTTAAAGATCTAGTATGAATGTTTTATGAGGGTTTTATTGAATAAATTAAAAAATGTCATTATTATAAAGGTAATGACTTACCATTGATGAGATATTAGATGAAAAAAATTTTTATTCGTTTTAATTTTAGATGTACATAGATGGTATGAGTGTATGAGTGATGGTATTCATTAGATTACACAACTTTTAAAAATTATAAGCCATTTAAAATAAAATATGTCAATGCTATATGAATAAAAAATGTAACCAATTAAGCATTATTAGTTAAAAACTATTTAATAGAGTCATCAATTATGAAATATATAAATTAACGTAGCCATAATTAAATTTGGTTAAATAGAAAAAATTGCGTGTGTGATTATTACCAATATTTGTGTATTAAGTTAATTATTTTTAATTCATATTTTTTTGGAATAATAATAAGAATACATTTATATGAATACATTAATAATTTAAACCGACTTTAAAATACAATGGGTTAAACTAAAAATTATTGTATTTATTATTTGACTGCCATTTATGTGATTAATTATTTTTAGGTAATTTAGGGAGTTAATTAAGGGATTCGTTTATTAGTGGGCACCGATACATAATTTTGTAGATAATTAAGTCTTAACGGAATGATATTTATAGTCAATTTAAAACTATCCACGGAATAGAGTGACATAATATTACTTTAACATGTAGGCAAAGATGGGCAAGTTTATGGGAATAATTAACTCAAGTTAAGTTAAGTTAAGTTAAGTATGATCAATGTCGATAATTTAACAGTTAAATATTTATTTTAGCAATTAAATATATTAGGAAATTTATATTTAATAATTTAGTATTATAATTTTTATGGAGAAATTATAAAAAATAATAAATTAGTTATTACTTTTATGGCAAACGTATATAAATGTTGATGCAATGCTTAAAAAAACATTATTTTTTATTTATAAATAAATTTACTGGTCTACTGGTCTTTAATGAACTTTAAAGGATCAAAAACACAAGTTAAAAATGTCATTTTGAATTGATATTTTGCACAGATTATTTTTAATATATTAAAAATCAATAATAACTTGATAAAAATTTTTTTTTAAATTAATTTTTTCATGTGTTTCTAATTAGTAATAATCTCAAAAAGATAGAAAAAATCTAATTTTAGGCTTGAAATCAGCATAAAAATTTGGTTTAGTAAAGTATATATTGGTCTATAATTATTAAAAAATATTTTATTTTACTGATTTGATTATACTGTGTAATTCAGTATGAAACGAATTTTATACACCTATTAATTTTGAGATATTTAATTAAAAAAAGTTTTTTTGAAGAAGATTTATATAGCAACATGTCACCAAAAAATTTGGAATATTGTAGACTGATAGTAACACACACAAATAGAGTTGAAAATTTAATTAATTTCAGAGTAAAATCATTTAAATTTTTATTTAAACCTGTTATCATATCAAACCTAATTCGACAATAAATACTTAAAAATCATTAAAAATGAATGATTTTAATTGTATATATATACATAGAATGTGGATCAGGTAAATATTTAATTGATAAAGTGAATTGTTAAAAAAAATAGGTCGAATGAGAGCTAAGAAAATAAATGACAGTCACGAAATAAAACTACATAGTAAAATAATTATAATATGAACAAGACATTTTTTCTCACGAGGGGAGATTACAGGGACGAGGTCTTTGATATTCATTAAAATTATTGAATCTAAATGAGATAAAAATCAAATTGGTAGAATATATTTTTCTTGTTAAAAATTAAATTAAAAAAATTCGAAAATATGAATTTCGACGGGTGAGTTCGCACCTCGTACTCCAAGCGTGACAGACATAAGTGTTTCCGACACAGCAACCGTGCAATGCATTTGTCGGTAGATAAAAATGCCAATTTAAGATTGAAGAAGTTCAAAATTCAGTTATTTTTCTCGACTTCAAAGAAGTAAAAAAATAAAAATAGTTTGACTGTTTATTCTATGTCAATTAGATTTATAAAATATTTATGGAAATCAGGGTAATCCCCTTGTAAGGTATTTTAAAATAAAATACAATACCAAGAATTTTAATACAAAAAAGCATATTTTGTCCATTTTCACCATGAAGGCAATCTAGATATATATAAAAGAAATAAATATATTTTCGGAACATTTTTAAAAATTAAGTTGAAAAAGTTAATTTTTTGTGAAAAAGTTACACATTTAGAATCCCCCCCCAGTGAGCAGATAAATTGTCAGATTTTCAAAAAATATATACTAAACAATAATTAAATACCTAATGTGTTTATAAAAAGAAAATGTAGTTTCTACTCTTTAATTTTTAAAAAGTTATGACAGTTTTAAGCAAAAAAATAGAAAAATTTCAACGGTTTTGGGGAATTTCTCAAAATTAATTTCCCCTATTAATGAGGAACTAGGAATTTTTTTTTAATTTTCGAGGGTAATGTTTTTGACTAGATACAATTTGTGAATTATTTTTTTTCAAAATTGGTCAAATGAGGAGAGTTGAGTGGTAACAGACATAAAAAATAAATAATTACATCATAGTAAAATTAATAGCTTCTTAGCTTTGTATCTAAGATAAAACATGTTCCTGGAATATTCAGTTTTATTTTTTTACATGCTGCCGCTTATATTTTTAGTCATCAACCGTTATTGTAGATAATACGACTTGAAAGTATAGTACTGTGCAGTTTGTTACTCGCATAGTTATGCTGTTTACACTTTCATATATATCAGTCAATCATTTATAATAGAATGTAATCAGTATCTCAATTATTGTATAAGTTAAACTTAAGAAGTTACATGTATTAGCAGAAATAAAATTTTAGTATCGGAATTTATGTGCAGTTTATGTTTATATTCATATTTTTATTCTAAACAATTGTTTACTATTCATAAAATCAATCCTTTGACATACAAACCCGCATTTCAACCCTTCTTTACATGTCATGTATTATTTTTTTACGATATTATGTTACTATATTTAATCCACTATATTTTTTGTATAATTTTTAATATCATATTTATTTATTCTTACTGTTCATTAACTTAAAAACTATAATCAACAACGATATTTCGAATAAAACTCAAAATAAATTTTATAAAGATTATTTAAAACGTCTGCTATTAAAATTATTTAACTTAGAATAAGATACGCTTTTTACTGTTTTAAACATCACATAAAATATAAAAACAAATAAATCTTATAGATTTCTAAATTAGTAACATAATATTTCTTAACTAAAAGATGAAAATATCAAGGTAAATTTATAAGGTATCATTATTATCAATAATAGAAATATCTTAAAAAAAGTTAGAAGATATAATAACACACCAAAAGTAGATCTTTCTATCCCATCACATTTTTAACTATAAAAATTATTATTCAAATAATTTTTTTTCATTAAACTATAATTATTATTGTTATAATTAAACTAAATATAATTAATTTTATCACATATTTTAAGTATAAAAATAATTTTTACAAAAAATATTTTTATAGTCTGAGACTTTTTACATCACTTTTTTACTTTTTAATTGTATAATTTAAAATCTTGTACGAAGTATAGACACAGAGATCCACTACACAAGAATTACTTGTTTAACTAAAAATTAAAGAATATTTATTTTAAAAATGAAAAATGTGCTTATTTATTTTTAGCATTAGTGCAGTATAAATTAAAAAAATGTATTATAATAATATTTATTCTAACGTATAGTAAAAAAGAAGTCAAAAACTTTATTACATTCAATGTGTCATTTATTTCAACATTTTTCTTTAGAAATACGAAAAAATGAATTCTATTAATTTTATATGATATATTATAATATTATGGTAATTAACTTTTATGATTGGACTCCATTTACAAATATATGGCTCCCGTAGGAGAGTGTTACGCTTTTATATAAAGTAAAAGAAGCACGTTTTATATTACAACTAAGTAGTGGTATTAAGTGATACTTATAAGTTATTTTTGACACATTATTAAAAATTGTAAGATTGTAAATTAAAGAAAAAATAATCCCGGCACTCTTTTTAACAGCATAATTTGTTTATAGAGAACGTAATAAATAATTTACTTTAATGCCATCTGATCTGAAAGTAAAAAGATTAGTTATGCAAATCTTATCAATCAGAACACTTATTTAAAATAAATAACTGAATGTTGTAACGTACTTTCGAACAAAATTGGTTTATTCAGAGTTGAGGTTTCAACAAGAAATTAAAAAATAAATATGTACATTTAAAATAAAAACCTGGTTAGATTTATATTTAAATTAAGTATTTAAAACATCAAAAAGCAAAATAATTAAATAATTGAATAATTAAATTACAATGTTTAAATTGCACGTATCAAAATTAATTTTAAGAAAATAGTTTGTACTGTCTTATTTCAAAAATAAAGTCCTGTATATTAGCTTCGATGTGAAGTTGAGAAAATATTAATTTTACAATGATGTGTTTATTTATTTTTTTTTTTGTGTCGGCCACTTGTCAGCTCTCACTAGACTGATTCTTTCAGCTATACGTCAACAGATCACAAATTGTATCTTGTTGAAGACATTACCTCTTAAAAATTGAAAAATTTTCCTTCGTTCCGCGTAAATGGTGAAAATGCCGCAAAAAATGACAATTTTTAAAATTGATAAATTTCAACATTTTTAAAACTTTTTTTTCTTAAAACTGTTATAACTTTTTGAAAAATGAACGAATCAAATCAGTTTGTTTAAATATAAATACCTTAGGTATATACTATAAATATTATTGATAGTTATTATTATAATTTTTTTTAATTATTAACTTTACATGTGTGATATTAGTGTTTCTGAATCTTATAATAACGATCAACATTGGTAAAGTAAACAATAGTGATATTAAGTGTCGTTATAATAATTTTTATTATAGATATTAACGAAAACAAAAAAACCTTTTCCGACTCTGTTTTTTTGTATACCGAAAATACAAATATGCCGATACATATTTAATGATCGTTAACAATAAGACACTTATATTTTCCGGAACTATTGAAAATATTAAAGTATTGTAAACGAAATAATCAAGAAAGAAAAACAAATACGAGTTTTTATTGACAATTCTTTTTGTCATATCTTTTACTTACGATAGCAAAAATAAATACCGATAATAATTTATAGCCTAGTTTATTGTTGCTTTTAATATCATGAAAACCAAATTAAAGATGAATATAAATTTGTCTTATGTCGTGTTGGCCTAGCCATCGACACGAATACACATACACACAAATTGACAATCCTGTCGACGTCAAAACACGGAGCTTAATTACTTTAAATACTTTTTCTCTTTACTAACTGACGAACGGTTCAGTCCATAGAATAGCTAGCTTTTATACAAAATATAAAGACTGTTAAAGGACCAGCACTATGACACACACATAAAATTAATAAAAATATTGGAATGAAATTAAAAAGATAAAAATAAGATGTCTTTAAAATAGTTACAAATAATTGTATACATTATAAAGAAAATAATAAAATCATCTACACGAATCATTAGGATCGAACCCAAAGACAGTCATAACACTACTGCAATTTATCAAAGAGATCAAACTGGATGAATAAATGTAATGTATATTTTTAAATTTGGTACCATAAAATTTAAAATGTAAATGGTAATTATAAAGTATAATTAATGACCGAAAATGCTAAAAGTATTAAAGACATGAAAAATAAAAAAATAAAACACAATTCAAATGACGCACTTACATCTGTAAAAAGATAGATGTAAAAAGTCTGTCAAAATGTCAATCTCAGTTTCTAATTTATGTTATCTTTATATAATAACTGACCCCACTCATACTGTTATTATAACTTGCTGATTCTGTTGTTTTTATAATTTGATGATTTTGTTTTCTGTGAATACTGTTTTTTTATGACTTGATTTTAATCTTAAGGATTTTCTAAATATTTTAAATCCAAATATTTAAACCCCATCGGTTGATCTGATGAAAACAAAAAATTAAAACATTATTAATATTAAATAATAAATTAATAAAATTTAATAAAACATAATATTAAAAAATTATTTGATAATTTTTTCAAAAATATCATCAAACTAGAAATAAGGGTTCCTGGATAAAATAAAATTACCTGCGCTTTTCTTTCAGTCTAAATCTTAAAATCATCATAACTAACGAAGTACATAACAATATAAATCTATTATATACAAGGATTTTGAGGGGAGAGTAAATGAACAAATCCGTTTCTATATTGCTATAGTAGTTTATTTACTAGTGAAATTTTACAGGAGTAAATTGCCTGTTCATTACTTGATTTAGATATCGTTACATGGATATTGCAATCATCATTGTCGAAGTTCTTACGTGCTTGATTTGTGAACTAAAACTTGAATTTGTGTTACTTTATTTATCATTTTATTAATATTATCACTGAAATTATTATAACAACTGAAGAAATATTATCAGGTAAGATTTTTAAATCCTTAAGTATATTTATACTGTTATTTTATAACCCTCGAATCACACCCCGAATCAAAAGTAACTCTCATTCTTACTCTAACCCTCAGCCAAATTCTTTTTTTATTTTTATTCATTTTTGAGTTACAATAATATTATGCTTGCAGTTGATTTCGTAAATAATAATTATTGTGATAAAACGCTTATTTTTCCTGCAATTCGTGAATAAACGACACAGTGTATGTATAATGAAATTGTTAATTAATTGCATATGTAATAATAATCGCTTTTTTTCTTTCTAAAAATTACAATAATGTAACTACAGCCTATTGTAACTAATATGTAGATTTTGGGATAGTATAAACTTGAAAAAAGTCATATTATTAAAAAAAATTTATAAAAATATAAGAGTTAAAAGTTTCTAACAGGATCATTATTATAAGATTTAGAAAAACAAGCATTAGACTTGTATAGTAAATAATTTAAAACTAAAAAAAACAATGAACAATAATATTTCTATATAATCTTTTCAATATTATAATAATTAACTCGATAATGATAAAAAAAAATTTAAATCATAGATTCCTATAACAAAGCTAGATATTTTTTCTTTAAGTACAATATAAGCTCTTATCTCATCTGTAATAAAATTATATTTTTCACAAAATAAATAATAAATGAATTACTTTCTATTCAATTACTTAAATGTTAAATTTCGTTTACTTTTATGATAGCGTTTTTTTATCTTTTTTGTCATCAATTTTTTATCGTTTTCTTTTTTATGGTTATTAATGTTAACAACGTTTTCCATACCTAAAAATACTCTACAATAATATAATTTTCAAAAACAATGGTTATGGTGTGATACAGTGGATACACTAACTCTATTATCAAGTCAAGCCTGTCTCTATAGGTTCACGGATGGGTGACCATACGCGAGTCTTTACAACAGTAAAGAGAATTGTTTCCAAACAAAATTTTTTATTTAGGTTTTACGATTCCAATAATTTTTTAGTAGTTCTTACGTTATAATCATAACATTATAAAAACGTTTCAAGCTCTATCTAGTACTGAAGATAACGGGAAACCACTACACTGACTATCTCCTTAGTATATACCAGTTCAACTGTAGTTGACTCATCAGTGAACTTTCGGTTAAAAGAAAAAAAAAGTACATTATTTTAGAAAAAAAGTATACTACATTAGATATGATTCTAGTATTAAATATATGTACAACCGAGCATCGAATAGTAATAATGTATTTGCTCATCGGATATCAGATATTTATAAAGTAAAAATGTACCATGGTTTAAAATGTTAGTAACGCATCTGATTGAATTTATGAGTAAATACTATATAGTCATATTGACATAGTCTAATATTAGGTATTAACTATTTATTATTTGTTCCTATTGTAAATAATTTAAAATGATTTAACGCGGTTTTATTTGGAATAATTACATCAAGTATATTAAGATTATTCTTATCGAAAATTACATTTTATATGTTATCATTGTACTTGCAGTAGTACAACTGAAGCGGATATTTTAATCCATTTTTGAAATAATATACAAGAGAGTATAACAAAATTACTTGAGATATATTGAAGATTGTGTTATTTTTACCAGTGCTCTCTAAAATATAATAAAAACTTGATAATTTTAAAAGTTTTTCACTCAAAACACTTATGTTGAGGTTTATTCGTCCATATTAGCCTGCAGTTACTGACGTAAATAAAAAATCAATTTTATTATTATATGAAAAAAACTTTAAATGAACTTGTATGTATTTGACGACAAAAAATTAATATTAAATTTACAAGAGAGTAATTTAAATTTCTGTGATATTCTCTAATGAATACAGATATACTTCATGATAATCTCTCAAAAAAAGTGGTAGTGAAACTATTTTTTTGGAATTTGTTGCGATGTAAACATTGAAATCAATTATCGAGTTAAAGGTTTTAAGATCTTTTTTGCTACAGTATAAAATTAAAAACCTTTTATTATATAATTATATATAAAAAATCAAAACAAATTGATGTATGAACTTTGTAGGTTATTTAATTTGTTTTTAACTGATAAGATTATTTCATATTACACAACTAATTTTTAGAATCACGAATTATTTTAATAGTTCGTATAAGTGTACATAAAGTTCTCAAATAAAATTTTTATTCGCTATGAATTTAAAATATAACATTTCGTTATGTTTTTTATACCTTATCGGTGTAATATTAATGACAAATGGACACTTATTGCAAGCTGATTCTACTTTAAAATTTGCAGTTGTTGTAAGTAAATTTTTTTGTATAAAATTGAAAAAGATCATATAATGATTTAAATTTAAAATTTTGAATGTCTTCCATATATTTACTTTGAAAATTAAAATGTATTTAAACCAGTGATATCTATTACGCGGATTGCAGTCGAACTAAATTTATTAGAAGGTATATAAGATATACACATTAATTCCTTATAATGTAGTTTGAGATAAAATTTCAAAATTTATATCGAGTCCTTTTTTATATCCTAGTAGAGACTGTTGATATAAACTATTAACGAAGAAAAATTTTTAGATTAAAAAGTTAAAAATTCATTGTTTTAATTACAATTTTCCTAAAATCATATAAATAAAGATTAAAGTAATAAAGATATAAAGATTTATACTCATGAAGAGCTAAAATTATTGAATTGGTCATTTAATACGGCATAAGTAAAAAAAAAAAAACTTTTATTGGTTTTTGGGTTCTAAGAAATTGTCTGTGTTACGCCAAAAATGCCTAAATCTGTCAATGTTTGTTTTGAAATATATTAACTTAAACAATTTTAATTTCTAGTCAAGGATACAATTAGGGAAATTCATAAAAATAAATAAATTGTAATATATTGTTATTGCATTATGTAAAACGTAAATACGTTGGCTATTAAACTATTAGCTGATTATGTTAAAATATTTGGTGAAATTTTTGTTTACTTCAAATTAATTTTTTTTTTATAAATACTGTTTCACGATATGGCTTAGGGTATTTTTTTCTCCTTTCCAAAAAAATTTAATAGAAACCTAAAAATTATGTCCTTGCCTCATATTCTATTTTTCTAACATACTAATTTTAGCCAAAATTAAATGTTCAAAAATCGCAAGATAGAAAAATGTATTATTAATGTATGTGCGGTCAACATTTATAACAATGATATATTTATTAAATAATCACTTTTTGTTAAAATAATTATTAATTATTATTTTTATTATTCGTTGTTAGATAAGCAAATATTGATACTTGTTGAGAACCTTTTAATTTCTTGGGAAAAATAAAACAATATTACAATTATTTTTTTGTTTACATGAAATTTTCAATTTATTAATCATGAAGAATTTTATATGCGGATTTATGTGGTTTTTGACGCAGAATTCATTTGAATATTACTATGTATAGAGTTGGTTCAGATTCTAGGCCTTAGTTTAATGCTTAGGGAACAGTAAGGAATCTTATATAAAATTAATAATTTCTCAGCTTCGCATTGAAGCTAAAATATAGCTGACTTACAAAAAAACATATTTAACTTTCTTGTAGTACGGATTTAAATATAGTAATTAAACTTTGTTGCTCAACACTAAAAAGGTCACTCACAAAAAATTTGTTTATACCATTAAAATTAACTGGGAAAACGTATGCTTTTTATATAACAACATTCAAATAGTAATAAAATTTGTTACAAATGTACATTTTAGTCACGTAAAACATTATGATACACTTCGCTTTCCGTATTTAGTTTGAACGAATACTTTGAAATTCAGGCGTTCCGTATAGGTAACTTAACTGTCAAGATTTCGTGAAAGTGAGGCAATGACGAGCATTGATGGAGTAAAATCCTGAAATGGTACTAGGGATTCAGGAGGAAACAATAACGGTGAGCAATTTTATGTCCAAGACCCGGTGAATTAGAAAAAAAGTTGGAATAACAGTACCAGGAATTCAGAAGGTATATACAATTTTTACGATCACCTTTGTCGTTGGCATAGCGCAGTACTGTTCCGGTGTCTTTCGCCAACGATCATGTGGTGAAATGTTGTGCGACTAACAGTTAATTCAATGGCGTAGCACAATGTCTCCCCATCATTATGTGCACTTCGATACACACATTAGCCATTGGAACTACCCCTTCAATTTCACGTTGGTCAACGACTTGTATGTTGAAGTCTATGTAATACATGTACAGGCGTTCACTAAATGTCGTTATACATAACATTTTTTATTTAACGGCCGAGATTACTTTGTCGTACAATCAATATATTTTTACACATGATCGTATCTCTGAATAAAACCTTAAATAATCGATTAAGAATTAATGAGTTAAATTTTTTCTTTTTTGTCAATTTAAGAAAACATTATATAAAAGTTTTCATTATTTTCAAATTCTTATATTTTACGACTTAAACTACAACTATTTGTATTTAATAATTAGAAAATAATTGTATATAAACTAAACAAAGTCAGAGAAAATTATTTAATTCTCGAATATTTATCAATAAAATAAATCGTTGAATGTTATGAGGCTTGTGTTACGGTACTAGAGGATTTCAAAGGTTTCCTTTAACTAGATGCCAGCATTTATTTTGCGCAGATTTTACAAGCGCTTCAAATGTCAGTGGAATAAAAAAATATTATATCACAGAATCTAATAAATATGAAAATTCTAAAGTATAGAATGAGCTAAAAAGATAAACAATTTATTAGTCTATATACATAAGTTAAAACGAATTATTAAATATATATTTAATTAATTGAAATCTTTGTTTATTTTTTTTTTTAAGTAATCTAAGCATACAATAAATTTGCTCATTAGGAAAAAGAGATAATACTACTCTTAGAAGTATTTTTTTTTTTACTACAAACTTGATATTAATCATATCATTATATAAGAAGTACTTTTTATTTTTCTTTATTTTAAATAACTTCGATAATAATCAAATTTATTTGAAATAAAAAGAAATTAGTTATTTTTATATTACAGATTTTTCGGCATGGAGACAGAGCACCATTTTTTGATTACAAGACAAACCCACATAAAGACGCTTTCCCTGAAGGTCCATTCCAATTGACAAAAGTAACAATAATATTTTTTTTCGCAAAAATTATCTAGCATTTAGACACTATGGAATATTATTTTACTATAATGATAATATTTGGTAAAATGTTCACTAATTTTGTAGATTGGAAAGCAACACATGTATAAAAAAGGGCAAATATTAAGGAAATTATATGATGGTTTCTTATGTAAATTATACTTGGATAGTGAAATTTATACAAAAACAACGACGGTTGCAAGAACTCACATGACAGCTGCAATGGTTTTAGCAGGACTTTATCCGCCAACGAGCTACTTGAAATGGTCAGAAAATGAGACCGTGTGGACACCTATACCTGTGTATGGAGGATCACCGGATCGTGGTGACGGAAAAGTTAGTACCTTAAGTATATAATAGATAGTAAATATTTTTGTACTCAAAACGTTGCTTATTTCAAAATATGTCATATTTTTATAAATACGGAAATTAAATTTCTCAATCATTTACTTGAAATATAGCGTAAATATCAAATTAAAATTAAAAATTGATGAAATAGTATAAAAATGTATTACACTTTAATTTTTATAATATTTTTAAGGAATAATTAAAAATTGAATTTTTTTGATGCTAGATGGACGATTGTCCTGCTTTTGATTCAGTCCAAAAAGAGGCTCGAGAAGGCGCCCAAAGCTGTACTGACGATGCGATAGATAAAATGCTTCCATATTTTTCAGAAAAATGCAATCAAACTATTGATTACAATAATTTATATCTTTTATATGATTTACTAAAATGTCAAGTATACAAATAGCAATTAAAATATTAACTTGGATTCTAAAGAAAAAATCATAATATATCATTTTTTTAAAGACAGCTGCCAAGTTAGAATTACCAGAATGGATGACATGGGGACAATTTAAGAAAATAGAAGAATTTTACGAAAGAAAAGATGTAATTCAATATACATTTGGAAACAAAAGACTTCAAAATATGTATGCCGGTAAATTTTTCAATGTTTTGCTTTCTATATATTTATAAAAAAAGATGATTTTTATTATTAAAAGAATACATTGAATATACTTATTATTCGGTGTCATCTTAGATAAGTTAAGCTAGTTTGTCAAGTTTTTAACTGTAGTTGGTAAATTAAATACAATCATTTAGTATAATTAATATTTATAGAATTAAAAGTAATAATATTAAAATAAATAGACTAGTAACTAGTCTATAGTAGAAGCAATAATATAATTTATAGTCAAAACAGATCAACAGTTTTTACTATTATTTATAAACAGGTAATATTTCTTGTATATATGACTGGATTTATTAATGTGGACATCACATTGTGGAGGCTCTGAACTTATATCAAAGTGTGGGGCTTTCCTAAAATCTTCGTCAAATATAGCACTTCATTTCACTCCGTATTTTTTCTTCTAAACAGAATAAATAATTTCTACACATTCATTACGTCGTTCTTAACATTATTCACAGTGTTATTAACAGTATTCTTATTTTGTGAGTATACCATGAATGATCCTCAAGTTATTGAAAAATTTCATACCAATCAAAATTAATTTAAGATTATATCAATTTTTTCCTAAACGATAAATATATAATATTAAAATAATTTAGCCATATTAATTGCGAGTCATTTTTGAATAAAAAGAACAAAATAATTGATATTAGGTCCATTATTGAAAGAAATTGCTAAAAAAATCCAAGAAAAGTCGAATGCTAATGACAACAGTACTGAAAATAGGAAAATGCTTTTGTATTCGGGCCATGACTATAGTTTAGGATTTTCAGCTTCAGTTCTAGATAACATGATGCCTATCAAGAGTTTTGGTGGGTCATTACATTTTCATTTACACTATTCTAAAGGAAGTGTAGGAGATGTTGTCAAGGTAAAATTACTTATTTATTTCACATTATTAATTAAACAGTTATAGTTATAAACACAACTTATAACCTAGTCAACATAATAAATTAAAGTGAATAAATAACTTATTTAAATTAATATTATAAAACGCCAAACAGATTTAGCTTTTTACGTTGTGCCTACAGTGTGATTTATAAAGTATACTAATATTTTGTTAAAAATTTATTTTATTATAAAAATATATAGATTAAAATTTAATTCATTTTTATAAACTATTGTAAATATCAAGGTTATTGTAAGAAAAAAATACTCCTAAGGGTGATTATTGGGATAATTATCGAAAATTAAATGGAAACCCATTATTATATTTTTACTATTAAATGAAGAATGGTCTAGATAAAAGTTTAACTAGTCGAAAATTAATATTGTACTATTAATTTATATATTGTTATAATTTTAAGTTGTAGGCGAGCGGGGGCGTAACGTAGAAGAATTTTTAAAACTGATTATCGACCTGACAAAATTTTATTTTGACCATTCTAATTTAATAGTAAATATAATAATAATAAATAATAGGTTCCCATTTAATTTTAAAAAGTGATTCCTAAAATTTACACTTAAGAATAATTTTTTTTTACAATAGACATCATGTCTATAATAGTATATAAAAATTAATGACACTTCAATCCATACATTTTTATGATAAAATAAATATTTAACAAAAAATTGTGAGTAGTATACCTTATAAATCACAATGTATACTTTTTTCTTAAAATTCTACAAAGATTTGAAAAAAGATTAATGTGTATACATTTTTAATTAGATAAAAAGTTCAATAGTTAAATACATGGATACCGATTTTTTTAGTTTTTAAACTTTAAGTTGTTCATTCAAATAATATGAATACTATCATTTAGTTCCTTTTTGAACAACAACTACAAGTTTTTCAATAATGGATTTACAAAAAAAATTTACTATTAATTTAGGTATTTTATTTTGAAAATTGGAATGAAGATCAGGGAATTCAGCTACCCTTAAAAATTTGCGGAAACCCTTGCACAGTTGCTAATTTTGTAAAATTGATTGATTCAAAATTACCGAAAACCTGGGAAGAAGACTGTAATGATGTAAAATAACACTCTAAATGCAAGATTAGTTATCTATAAGTTGGAAAAATTTATTAGAAAATATTTATTGTCAATATTATTACTCAAATCTATATAGAAAAGTCAATAAAAATATTTTATTATCTTTAATGCAGGTTTTAAAATATTTTTATAAAAATCTAATCGTTAATAGTAAATTTTAACAGTGCACAGTAAACATCACTTGTCGAACTTCAAATTTAATTTGAATTTGAATTACACGTAAAAAAATCCTTATTATTGCAGTAAATTTCAAGTTCATCCAAAGCATGGTATCTTTTTAAATGTTAATACTTTTAAGTATAATACTTAAATAATAGATAAGGTAAATATTTTAAATAAATGTTGGATAATTTAATCATCTCCAAAAATATATTATACGTATGCGTTTCCTACACAGAAAACATATTGTTTTAGAAATATTATTTGAATACATATAGATTTAAGTAATGGACATGGTCTAAGAGTTACAATGTTTAAGGCTAAAAAGGAAAACAAAAATTATAGTAAATGTATTATTGAATTTCAAAAAAATACAAAATATATCTTAAATTAGTATAACACAAAGTAACTAAATTTAATACAATTTAAGAACCTTCTATATGTAGTAATTCTAAATATTTTCCTATAATATATTCACCCTTTCCAGTAAATATACGTGATATATTAAATTTTATTTATAACTTGTTTTACTCGTATTTTATGATGTATTTCGTATTATCATTTACTGCACGAGTAAAAGAAATTAGAAATTTTATGTATAATTTAGTTACACGATATTGTTTTATGAAATACCAAGTTGAAATATGTCTTTAATTAAATCATAGCATTGCAGATTGCTTTAAACATACAACGAACATAGAATNTCACCCTTTCCAGTAAATATACGTGATATATTAAATTTTATTTATAACTTGTTTTACTCGTATTTTATGATGTATTTCGTATTTCGTATTATCATTTACTGCACGAGTAAAAGAAATTAGAAATTTTATGTATAATTTAGTTACACGATATTGTTATATGAAATACCAAGTTGAAATATGTCTTTAATTAAATCATAGCATTGCAGATTGCTTTAAACATACAACGAACATAGAATCAGACGAAAATTCTAAAAACTGTAATGATGAAAAACACTAAAATACGAGTACGGTTGGCCAAATATCTATTATGACATATATGGAACGCAAGCAAGTCTTATGCTCATCATCTAGTTTTGAGCCCAAAAAATGAAACTTTTAGTGGATATGAGCTTAATTATAACACAGACGTTAAGCCATAATATTATTATCAACGGAAGTTAGAACGCGATATTAATGACATTTTACAAACGAGGCTTTACTAACTTATGGAACCACTGTTGTAACTATTCAATTAAAAGGTGTAATCTTTCCTCTTCAGATTTTGGTTTGTTTGTAGGGTATCAAGTTGAACTGATCTAATTTAAGAGCTGAAAAATGAACTAAATTTTTCAATGACATCTGTATTGCATAACCCAAAAAGTAACCAAGCTAAACTTACTATAATAGATAACTATGTATGTATATATATATACATATTTTTTTTAAGAAATTAAAGTAGCCAAAGTCAATATATTTTAACGTTATATGTCATTAAAATGTTTGATAAACATGCATAATAAATCCGCATAGTTTTGCATTTTACATGTTTTTGTTAATTAAGATTTCAATTAATTTACGTCAGTTTTATTAATTAAAATTGTACTCGTATTGGTTTGTAAAGGAATTTTTTAGTATTTGTGAATTTGTAGAAAATAAAATAGGATTATGTACATTACTCGAATATGTTTAAAAACAATGTATATTATAAATTTCTACATTATATATACGTAGAGTTAATATATTTATCATTATATCTTACATATATATATATCGTTATACTTTCTCGCTTATTAACGAACTTTGGGGCATTCTTACTCTTACCCTAAAATCTTCTGTTACTTAACCCACACTTTTTACCCTGGTACAAGTGTCATCATACATATCTTCTATTATATTAATGTACCTTTTTTTTACGTTTTCTCACATTAACTTAAGAGCATAAATTATAAATAATATTGCATACATTTTTATCCAACTTTTATGAAGTCCATGATTCCCCTAAAAGGGGGCGCATTTTTCGAAATGTGGTGAGTATCCTAAATAACCTCTTATGTAAACAGGCCACTGTATACACACATACGTATAGGTTGCAACAATTAAATGTATAGTGAATAACTTTCTAATGTATATAATGGATGCGTCTAAGAACTCTTCATGATATGTAAGTAAAAAATGCAAAAAAGAATTAAGAGAAATCAAATTTTTAATGTTACATAAATTATCCACTATATTTTATGTTTTATTTTAATGTCACTGTTTATTAATATATACATTAGACATAATCAGGGTGCCAATAATATATAATTAATAATTAAAAATATAATCATAATTTATACCAAATTTTTTGATAAAAATAATTGAATGATATTAAATAATAGTCCCAAGTCAATCTAAGATATTAATCTATATGATAATTAATTAACTATATTTTGTGTTACAGTATAAAAATACTTTTGTTAAAACCCGTAATATACTATTTATTTAGTCATATAAAAAAAAAATGTTCATACTTTTGGTTAGGTAAATAAAATGATAAATATAATTTGATAAACAGTAAATTAAATCAATAAATTCTAAATAGTTATTTACTTGATTTTATAATGAAAAGAAATTTTACTGCACATTATATACTCAAAATCTCAACATCTATTAAAATAATAATAATCCTTATTTACATATACCAAATTTTAAGTTATCGATAATTCTGCAATAGGAAAATTTCAGTTTAATATAATATTATCATTTATCGCACATTAAATAAAACGAATCATTTAAATATAATCTCAAGCATTACTAGTTTGAAAAACGTGTAGGTCAATACCAATTTGTCAACAGAATTTTCTAAATCATCAATTTATAATCAATAACAGTTTATTGACTATTTATATCATCAAACTAGCAGAACTCCAAAAGATTTATTTATCTATTTATTCAACGGGATTGACCCTTATTATACAAAAATATAGTTACATAAAATGAAACAAAAACAAAACAAACAAACAAAAAAAAGAAAAACAGTAATATAAAAATAATAAACATTATATAAACATAAATAATATAAATAACAAACATTTAAACAAAAGTATATAAAATAAACGTTTAATTGAAATTGAAAGAGGTGTCTTCATTGGCATTTTTCAATGAACGATTAATTGGCTTATTATAAATATAATTAGAAGAACAGATAGGTATGAAGAAGGAAGCATGATTTCTGGATTTTCTCTGGGGAACTTTAAAATTAATTAGCGCTAAAAGATGTGGAGAGTCAACTCTACCATCAAGCAAATTTTTTAAGAATTTAGTACCTAGGGCCTTTCGGCGATCAGCAAGTGAGGGAAGATTAAAATATTCGGCAATGAGTGTTCATGTTGGGGATAAATTATATTCTTTAGTTATGAAACCAAAATTTTCCATTTTACTTTTTATTTTTATTGACAACTATTTTTATAATTAAACAAAAATATATAAAAATAATGCAATGAATTCTAATTTTTAAATATTATTTTTTATCCTTATTTGTAAAATGCATTGCATGGGTAATAAAATTGTACTTGAAAAAAATGAACTTTTAAATTTATTTAACTTAGTAAAAATTTTATCTTGGAGATTTCATATACTTATCCTTGATTAAATAACTAGTTCATTTTTGAACAAATTTGTCAACAATATTAAGAAAATGAACTATAAACATTGAATATTGGTCATTATTACAGATAAAATTTTTCAGATTACACACAATTTTTTAGTATTTAAGGAAATCATTTTTATAATTCACATTTGTGTTTAAAAACCTCTCTAAAGAAACATTTGTTGTATTCATTTCACGTTCTTCATAGTTGTGATGAATTTAACGTATACCATTTCGTTATTTTTATTATACTTATTCAATATTATGAAAATAACTAATGGACAATTATTACCAGCTGACTCTACATTGAAATTTTCCATTGTAGTAAGTTTTTGAGTATACTATAACTTAAATAAAAAAAAAAAATGATATGGCATCCACTATTATAAATGGATTTACAAGTAAATATATATATATATATATATTATCCTCATGAAATATCTTATTTTTTCATTTTTTTATAAAACAAGCAGTTTATGAAATATAAATTATCCTGAATACAAATTCTAAAAAAGTTTCTTTAAATTATAATACGTATTCTGTACAAACAAATACATTAATATTAATATTATAATGAATTGTATTAAATTAATAATTTTTGTTCATAACTTAAATCGGGTATTTTGAAATGTTTCACATTATAATTTTACAGTATTATGGAATATTATTTCAATTTTATATGTGAAATAATTAAATTGAAAAGTATTTCGAATAATATCTATGCAAATTTCAATTTAGTATTGATTCAAATATTATAATTATGTACATTAATGAAAATTTATACAAATGAAATATATATCAAATGGGTATTTTGTATTAGGTTTGATTTTTTAGACCTCTTTGATTTATAAAATTAATGTTTTTTTGGTAGAAATAATTTTTTAAAGTAATATAAGATTGACTTCCCATAGATTTTCAGACATGGCGACAGAGCACCATTTTTCGATTACAAGACAAACCCACATAAAGACGCTTTCCCTGAAGGTCCATTCCAATTGACAAAAGTAACAATAATATTTTTTTTCGCAAAAATTATCTAGCATTTAGACACTATGGAATATTATTTTACTATTATGATAATATTTGGTAAAATTTTTTTGTAAAATTTTCACTAATTTTGTAGATTGGTAAGCAACACATGTATAAAAAAGGCCAAATATTAAGGAAATTATATGATGGTTTTTTAAGTAAATTATACTTGGATAGTGAAATTTATACAAAAACAACGACGGTTGCAAGAACTCACATGACAGCTGCAATGGTTTTAGCAGGTCTTTATCCGCCAACGAGCTACTTGAAATGGTCAGAAAATGAGACCGTGTGGACACCTATACCTGTGTATGGAGGATCACCGGATCACAGTGACGGAAAAGTTTGTATCTAGAGTATACTATAATGACCAATGTTTATGATTTTATTTTCCATATATAAAATATTTTTTATAACATTTATTTCTTATTCAATCTTTTTTTACAAATGTTATAATAAATAAAATATCATTGGTTATTTTTCAATGCCAGACAAGTCATTAGTAGCAGTTTTTCAGGGAATCAAAACCAAATTAAAATTTTTGTATTTTAGATATTTAAGTGCAAAAATCATATTTTTTTTTTATTAAATTAATTCATCATTTTTCTGCTTATGATAAAAAACACATTTTTATGTATAAATTATAATTTTAAAAAATTACAAAAATGCATTTTTTTGACGTACATGAGCCACAGAATTATATGCTTATATCGACTGAATATAAACACAATTAATAAAAAGACATAAACCTTAATTATTTAATTTTTAAAGAGCTATTTAATATAATTGTATATAATATTTTTGATAGTTAGCTAATTGTCCAGCATTCAATGGTGTTCAAAAAGATGCCCAAATATTTAATGATACTAAGTTAAATGAAATGCTTCCATATCTTTCAGAAAAATGCGGTCAACTAATTAAATCTGAAGATTTATTTCCTTTATATGATTTATTGAAGTGTCAAGTAAAAATATAAATTAATGTAAAAACTTGAAATTGCAGAAAATCCTAATAAATATAATATATTTTTAGATATCTGCTGGGTTAAAACAACCAGAATGGTTGACACCAGAAATATTTGAGCAAATAAATACATCTTTTGAAAGAATAGAAAAAAATAAACAGTTTGTAAATAAAAGACTTCAGAATATGTATACAGGTAAAAGTAATCAGCGCACTTTTTTTTAACTTATCAAAATATTTAACATTTTTAATTAAAGAATATACAAAATGGATATTTGGAAAATGTTTAAAATTTAGTTTATTTAAATTTACTGATTTAAGTTACAAATTCAAAATGAATAAACTACTCAAATTTATATGATTAGAAATAATGTTTTTAACAATTATAACTACCAGCTGTATTTAAATTTAGATATACATCATATAGTATTTTTTATATGTAAATGTTGTGATATATTATAATATAGAGTGTTCAGTTAGTAAGGTAACAAGAAAATTGTTACAAAAAATAAAAACACGTTTCCTTACTTACTGAACTATAGTTTTATTTTATGCAAAATTGTTCTTGGTTTGTAAAACATTGAAGCGCATTATAATTTAGTAGTATTTATACAACTATTTTTATAATTAACGTTTACTTAAAACTTCAAAATTGATAAAATAAAATATTTTTAGGTCCTTTAATGAAAGAAATCACTCAGAAAATACAAGAAAAGTCAAATGCTAACTCTAACAAGACCGAGCTTAAAAAAATGCTTTTATACTCTGGCCATGACTACAGTTTAGGATTTTTAGCTGCTATTTTAGATAATCCGATGCCTATTTCTAGTTTTGGTGGCTCATTACATTTTCATTTGTACTCTTTCAATAATAGTATAGGGGATGTTATTAAGGTAAAGTATTTATAATTCCAAGGCCATAAATTATAGCTCATAATTATTAAGGGTAATAATCGTTTAAAATGTTAAATTTGTAAAATCAACAAAATCTGTCAATTCCTATAAAATTTTTAAAAATATCTCTCAATATTTTAAAAATTAAGACTTAATTTTAAATATATTTCAGTTTTTTCTTGATACTCAATCAAAAAAAAAAGTATCATATTCAAACTTGAATATAACTTCATATCTAACAAATTTTATCTGAATTTTTAATAATTTTTTAAAATTTAATTATTTAGCTATATTATCTTGAAAATTGGAATGACGATCAAGGTGTAGAACTTCCGTTAAATAGTTGTGGAAAACCTTGTACAGTTACTAGTTTTGTTAAATTTGTTGATTCAAAACTTACAAAATCTTGGGAAGAAGATTGTAATGATGTTTAGATTTTTAAACGCAAGTCTGGTCTTTCTGTGTTGTTCACTGTTTACTGTATAAAAAATATAAATTGGTATTGTAATAATTGTCATTAAAATAAAATAATCGATTCAACAGTGTTTATTTATTTCTTGGCCGCAATAATCAATATGTCCTTCAATGTTACTCAGAAGTAATTGGGATTATTTGATTATTCAATTTACAGCAGAATATTATGTTTTTAGTCTTAATTAATGAAAATTAATTAAAATATTGTAACTTATTAATAAATTAAAAAAAAAAATATATATATATATTACTTATATAACAATACAACCGAATAATTATAAAATTACAAATAGTGACCAACTAATGAATATTTCGTTATTTTTCATCACTATTGTATAGAAAAATTTAACAGTGGTCATTTGGAAACGATTTTCAATATAACAATATATTTAACTTAAAATGTCAAGACAAAATAGAATCCTAATTTAGTTCAATTATTTTAGTATATTTTAGCAGATGGACTCAAATTAATAAAATTGGGTTCTGAACACATCTACTAAAATAAAGAGGAGTATAGTAGATAATCTACAAAGTTTCATATTTTAAACATTTATGATGAATATCACTCAGTATGATAACGAAAAAGAATTTTTAATTCTGCGTTATGATAAAAAAAAAGTGTCACTAAACACAACCCTGCTTCTTATTTTTTATAAATGCTAATATCTCATAAAGTAATAATACAAAACTGGTTATAGACCAGATTAGAACAAGTTAATGTTTTGAATAATGTTATAATTATAACATTTAAAATAAAAAAATTTGCCAAAAAAAAAGGGCAAAAATATATGAAATATTATTTTAATTATTATTTCAAATTATACAATTTATAACGAAAACAATTGTTATTTAAAAAATCGTTATATTTAAAACATGTATTAATTATTTAAACTCCTTAAGATACTTTCAAACTCTATTAACGTTTAACATAATTTAATATTAAATGTTGAACAACGTTAAATTTAATTATAAGATAATGTTAGTAAAAAAATAATAATAGATTCCCATTAAACTTCGGAAAATTAACCTTAAAACTACCCTAAAGAATAATTTTTTATTACAATAAAACTTATATTTATATTTATTCATGAATATAAATTAAATCCTAATAACTCATTAGATACTTAAGTTGTTATCGACTTGGCTAAATTTAAATAAATATTAATATAAAAAATGGTTATTTTTTAAATTTAAAAAATTATTAAGTAAATAAATAATAAAAAATATGCTGTTAATGTAGTCCATAACTATAAAAATTAAAAAATAAAAGTAACTGATAATATTTTCTGGATCGAAAGATATCTAAGATATCAAACCTTGTGGGTTCTGTATATAAAGTGGTTAAAAAGTCTAAATCTAAAGTGAAAAAGTCTAATCGTTTAATATTATATAAACAAAATGATCTAAAAGATTTTGGTTTCAAAATTATATGCAGTAGTTATAAGACCAACCATACGTTGGTCTATGGAAACATGATACCTGTTGAGGCGTCACAATTTTAGGTAGCTATCTTGATACGTTAGCTATGTCTGTAAGTACTCTTTTTCAGTAGGTGAATTATTTTTGGCATTTAATAAAACATCAAAGAGCGGTAGTATTGTATTTACGCAAAGAAATTTAGTCCAGTCCATCCCATTGACATAAAATCATGGTAAATCGTAGAAAAGTATAGCTTATGACTATATACTAAAGAAATCATACAGATCCCACTCATAATTAATATCGAAATACATATGTCTATGCATTGAATCATGAATTAAGGATTTTAAAAAAATTCTGTAAATTAATTTTATCCTTCAATATTATCCATTATTTGTTCATGTTATTTTTGTTTCACAATTTTATATTTATAAAAAAATAAGAATAACCAATTAAATAACCTTGATGTGTTTGGTATTATCGATATTTTGAACACAATTTTTGAGGATGAAAAAAAATCCAGATTGTTTAAAACAAGATTGTGAAGAGTTAGCATATGTAAAATTTCTCGATATAGAAAATGAAAAATAAAGTAATGAAAGTAACTTTGAAATATGGTCAAGTGATATTAACATAGAAGAGGATGCAAAAACTTAATGATAAAAAACATCATGAGAATTACCCATAATGATTTTGTACAATGATGAACCCCAGAGTTTTCTTATTTGTATTATTATGTTATTATTATGGATTATTAGGTATTCATAAAAGTTGTCTTTTTATTAAACCAATTTCAAATATTTAATTTATTTTAGAATAGCACACCACTGAATTGACCTACATAGAGTAAACTGGGGTAATAAACTTTTATTGAAGTAAATAATTAAATTTTATAATTGAGAACATATGGTTGATAAATATTAAATCTTAGACTATTTTTATATGTAATTTAATAGTTACAAAATCATCAAGCTGAAATTGAATACATTATAAAGATAATACAAATTTTTAATACTTTTATGTTAATTTTTTTTTTAACCAATAAGAAAACTATTTTAAGTTTATAAAACAGTTCAACAAGACTTAACTTTTTTTCATTCGTTATATATTTCTTTAAACATATTTAGTAAAAACATGTATTGATTTATTTTCAGTTTTTGACATAGAATTTAAAGTTAACATTTTCATTCGAGATAAATCTCCAACGTTGTTAAACGAATAAATTTTTTACTTACTTTGAAATAATGTATGCATTATTATACTAAATTTGAATATTATTCTAATCATTTTTACTTCAACTTTTTATGTAAAATATTTATTAATTGATATAGTGGTATAGTAATTATTGACAAAAACATTGAAATATATTATTGTAGTTTATTTTTAAATTTTAGTTAATGAAAATTTAGTGTTTTAATAACGCATAAAAATTAATAAAGATTTTAATTTGAAATAATATTAGCCATAAGTGATTAATTTTTATTATATTAAATATGATGTTATATTAGGAAAGAAATCAGATGGTCCTGTTAACATCAAAATAATAAATTTTTTATTATAAACTCAACATATAAGTTTTAAATAAAATTTTATCTAGTTACATTAAATATATTATTTGACATTCGACCTTTTATGAGTAAAACAGAAGCTCTTTTTATAGTGGTATTTGGTCTAGACATAAGTGTATTTTTTTAGGAGTAATTGATTTAAAATAGGTATTATAGAAAATGTTAAATTCTTTTTGGGGATTTTTAGAAAAATAAATTACACATCAATTTTTAAAAGATATTAGATTAGAAGTATTGGGTTGATTAGAATTAGAATAAAAAGAAAAATGTATATTCGTCCTTACTCCTCCACTTGTCTAGATATAAAATTGGTAACAACGTCTGAAATAATGGTTTAAAAGTTGTTACTGATCTGTTATTTTTTTGTTTCTGTATTATTTAAGCTAGATAATATATGATGTCATTTAAAAAATAGAGTTGACACCTTTATGTAGTATAAGGTAATGACCTAAAAATTATTTTATATAGTTTTAACATATAAATGGAGATACATATATCACTAACAAAAAATCCAAATAAAAAGTTTTTCAAAAAAAATTATAATTTTAAAAGAAATTGAGTGGCTAGCGTTAAAGAATCATCTGTATTCAAAAAATATATAAAATTAAAAAAAAAAATCTAATATTATTTATTTACTTTTTTAAGAAGTTAATGCTATTCTATTTATTATAATTAAAATAAGTTTAATCTTGAAGCAAATGGCAGAAATATGGAAGGATTTTGGAATAACTTATTAGAATATTTTTAAATACTTTAATAGTGATATAATATGGTAAGATACAAATTTGTGTCAACTAGTTGATCAATGATTACATTATTATTATTCTTGGTAAAGGAATATGATGAAAAGTACAAAAAAGATAGACCAAAAGTTGCATATTAAATTATCCATACATAATAATTCATTATAATCCTTTCACTGATCATGTTATTTTAAATTAAATGTATTCTTTAAATGACAAATTTCCTGTTATAAAATAGAATAAGACACTCAATTTGTATTTTTAAAACTTATCAGACTATTGAACAACACTTATTGGACAATAAGTGTCCTAAAATACAAAATTTATAAAAAATTACACCGTAATTTCAAATTTCACATAAAAATCAACATTTAATGCATGAATAATAACTATAACAAAACACATTACAGAAAGATCAAAATTAAATTATAGAGCTATGAAACAGAACAATATATGTGGTTATTTGTTTACATTTAAATTGTGTTAGTAGAATACTCTTAAAATTAAAATTCAATTGACATATATTTAAATATGATACAAAAAATATGTATTAAAATTATGCACAATTCACAGAATATAATTATTAAACTAGTAATTTTTAATTGTCATTAAAATTTTTTTTATATAGTCATATTATTACACTTAATAATAAATAATGTAGATTAATTTTTAACATCAATTTTGGTTAGTCTGTATTTATTTGTATTTAGAAACATTTTAAAAACGGTTTTTTTAAATACTATTTTAAGTAAACAATTACTATTTATAAAATAAAATTATACTTTTTAAATATGTATGAATTTTATTAATATGTTTAAAAAATAATAATAATTCAGAATCTATAAAATTTTATGTAGTATTTTTGTATAGAAACAATAAAATTATTTATATTATGTATCATAATGAGTTAAATATACTTAATATGTATTTGAACTATATATTTCACAATGTAAAAAAAGTCGAATTATATTCTAAATTTATGCACTCGAGTTTTATTAATATAACCTTAATCACTTCATTTTTTCTTAAAATAATACTGTTTAAGTAATAGTAATTACGATCACTTTATATTTTTCACTCATATCTTTTGCACATATACGTGTAGTTCTTAAAAAAAATAAATAGTACTTAATTTTTTAACAACTATGATTTAAATGAATTTTCATTAGTATAAATTTTAAATTTTTACTCTCAAATAATTTAACAATGATAATTTTAAATATACATTTTAAAATAATTAATTTAAAATAATATACAATTATTATATTTATATTAGTTATTTTAATACAAAACATATTTTTTATTTAAAGTGTTTAATGCACAGTAGGTTCATATATTAGCGTACAATTTGTTTATAATATTGTGCTTTTTTTTTTAAATTTCTTAGATAAGGACATTCATATGAACAATTTTAAACATTTAACTATACACAAACATATAAACATACTTTGATACATTTACAACTGTTCGCTGATACAGAAACATTGAAATATAAATCAATAAAAATTACAAATAAAAATTGTATTTTACAATAATATATTTTATTTACAAAATAAAAACAAAACCGCTAAATACGGGTAGGAAGGAGTTTTAATAAATACTTATAGGTAAAAATTGTGCACTTTTTATTTACTCTAAAAATATTATAAATTTATAATATTGTTCCAAGAACTTTTATAGATTATTTTTAATAATAATATAAAAAGTATCAACATAGAATTAATGTTACATTAAGTAAATTAAATCTATATAGAATGTGCTTTGGTATAGGCTTTACATTTTTATATGATTTTATATCATACATATATAATTATTGAAACTAAAAAATTATAGTAATAATACAAAAAAGTTCTTTAATTATGGTTAGGTACTGAAAACCATTGTTATACTAATTTTAGTATGTACTATTCTATAACAAAACTTTATACATAAAATTTTTAATGTTATAAATATATATAGTTTTTAAAATATTTTATAATATACATAATGATATCATTGTCATAACACTTTGGTTTAATGATTTTAATAATATAATCAGTTTAATAATTTTATTTAAGTTATTTGTTATCATGATAGTCAATACTAATAACAAACAAAGTAATAATAGTTACTTGTATTGTACAACAACAGAAATAATAACAAAATCATTTCATTTCAATGACACAAATGTATCTATTCACTTAATTCATATTACCATTTTGGTTTTCTGAAAAATAAAAAAGGTTCAATGTAGTCCAAATATTATTTATATATTTTGTAAAATTATGCCATACAAGTAGGAAGGATATAAGAAATGAAAACAAGAAGAAATGTACAAATGTATAGTTAGGAATTGTAGAGATACATATAAAAAATTAAGTCATAAAAAAATGCTAATACAAATAGACTCATTGTATAAAATTATATATATATTATATTATATATATATATATATATAAGAAAATTTCTCCATAAAATCATCATAAAATTTTTAAGTTATAATAGGAAAATTGAATTGTGTTGTTTGTTATTCCAAAGGTAACAACAAACAAGATTTTAAAATTTAATCTTTGTTTATTATTACTAAAATATTAATTGATAAACTAACATCTGTAACATATATTAATTTTTATAAATTTTAAAATACCTTTAAACTGTTGATACATTTGGATTGGTTGTATAGTTTTTGAGTAATTCCCTCAATCTAAGTATTTCTTTAGATGCTGAAGTTAATTCAGATTGCAGTACCAGTTCTTTTTCACGAAGACGTTTGATTTCATGTTGACAGTTCTGTAAAAAAGTTTTAGAATCATAGAAATTTTTTAAAATTTTTCATGTAGTTGTCATAGTACTTTAATGCTACATTTCATCTAACAAATACAAAACATAAATTAAACTTACGACATTTTGTCGGAGTAGTTCGAGTTTATCGCACTTAAGCCTTGTAACATCTTGCCTAAGACCTTCAATGCGCGAATCGCTGTTTTGTGTATCACAACATAAACTACAAGGTTTTCCACTAGGTGTTTCAGCCGATGACATACTTTCCAGTCCAGTATCACTATCCACTGTACCAGCAATGCCCATACCATCTAGTTCTACACTATTAAGTGACGATGAATCACTCTCTGACATTGCTACACGACTAGCTCCACTGTAAAAAAAATGAATAATCATAATGAAAGTTCTATTAAAAAAAAATAATATGTTTCTATATTTACCTAGATGTTCTTTGAACAGGATGTATATCAGGGCTTGATATAGGAGATGATGGTGAGCTCTTTTTACTACTTTTTGATAATGATCGTCCAAACTACACATGATAAATTTTAAACATTATAAATGAAATATAATTTAACAACAAATTCAAATAATTTAAAATTAACATACGTTTGGTACTGATCCATCAACGGAACAACTGCTCATTTTTTTGGAAAGAGTATTAGAGTTGTTGTTATTTGCTTCAGCATTAGTAGCAGATTGAGTTTTGACTCTAGCAATAAGTGCTTTGCGAACAGTATCAATAAACCTGCTTCCTGCTCCAGAAATTGAACCATTTCCATAGTCTGACGACGATGAAGATGAACCAGATTTTGTCAATTCTGGTCCCACGGCAAAAACACTATTATCACTAATATTCCCGAGGAAGTCTTTAGTTTTTTCTTTTAATTCCTCGCAAAGTGAATGTAACAGCGAAGTCCGCGTTCTCAACTAAAATCAAAATAAATATATGTTAGTCTAATAAAATTATCGTTTAACAAGTTCACATACCTCTAGTTTAGCAAACTTATGAGCCTTGTAGCACGCGTTTTCTGCGTTAACCAATTTTGTAAGCAGAAACTGTTTAAATTCGGGTCCATGCCGGAAAATGGCTGGATTTGGTAAGGTTGGTCCAAAAAATGGAACATCATCTCGTGCTGTTACACTTACTTTGTACCTGATCACCAAAAATATTGTAAGAAATACTGAAAACTACACTAAGCAGTTGGTTCAAAAAATAAAAAAAAAATAACATACCTAACGTTTGGTGTGTTTGGTTCGATCACTTGTACGACAATATAAGCATGCAAAAAATGTGAAGCTATCATGTCTGGGGTGAAAGGAGTGTTAGATTCTTGAAAAACAATGGCTACAATATCATTACCTAGATTACAATGAAAAAAATTATTAATTTGAAAATCATGAAGTCGTTTACTACTTAATTTCTTACCAATATGCCTTTTTCTTTGAAGCTGTTGAGGATCATTATCAGTATAAGGAAGCAATGGAGATACGTGGAATATGATTTCTCGATCTTTAAACACTTGATAAACAGCTTCATCGCCCGTTTGTCCGAATTGCGTATCTAGACCACCTCGATATCTATGAGAATAAAAATAAAAATTAAATAATAATCAAATACAATTTTTATTTCTTGTATTGTTACCCTTTGTGGTCTTTTAATTGTATTCTTTGACCAAGTAATTGAAGAAACTCATCAAATGCGGGTGATGTATGTTGATTGGAAAATAATTCTTCTTCACTGGTTTGACCATATTTTTGGTAAAGGACACCAAATTTAAAGTTCGATACAAGTACATGTTCATCATAAGCAGCTATTAATTGAGATGCTTTAGAACTCAACACAGGGGACAAATTGGTAACTGTAAGTTGGTCATTTAAAAGCTGCAAAGAAATAAAATATTTTGTTAAAAGAATAAAATCTGAGTTCTAGTTGTTTTTAACTACTTATAAATTTAGATTTGGTAATGTTAACTAACAGATTTATCTATATGTAGTGGAAAAAATATAATTTGATGATATATTAGTTACCGATAAAAACTACTCTCGAGATCTAATGTTTTTTTGTTGTAATATAGATTTTGCTTTCTTCGTAATTACTTATACATAGTTGAAAGATAGATAAATAAAGATGCTATGTGATATTTTTTTTTTTGAAAATTTACTTAATCGCTTAAATTAAATAAAAATAGAGCGAGAAATTTCAAACAAAATATTATACAAATTGTAACAGTATTACTTACATAAGTAAATTATACTTTTAATTTTTTTGCATTTTACAAAGTAGTTTTTTCTGGTGATTATCGTTTTAAAAGAACATTCTCTTCACTATTATTATAATAACATTTTTAGAGATATTGTTAAGCTCGTCGAGTTACCAAGCATAATCTATACACTTTAAAAAATATATATGATGCATTATTATTATTATGATAGCTATTATTATGTCTTCTACAGTCATCAAATAGTCTGGACTATTTTTATCCAGACCAGTGCAGAGATGCGAATGATGTTTATTATGTTATTTATCGGGTTTCCATTTGTGGGCTAGACGCCAATTTCTCTACGACTTAGTCGTGTTGCGGCTCAACCAAAGCCAAAATGAAGAGATTGTTATCTTCTACATTTGGAAAATAAAAGCGAGTAAACAGCTTAATGGATGAAAAATAGTAATGCTAATTTCAGAAAAACGTTCCTAAAAGCAAGATTTGAAAAATAAAATATTGTAAATAATGTTAGAAAATATGAAGATAGTTAAAGTATCAGGTTGGGTGATATTTAAACTAAGGAATAGTTTTAACGAGTTTATTTAGTAGATGAACTTAAAAAAACTAAATTAAAAAAAGAAATTACATATCATAAATTGGACCATTATAGACGAGATTAACGGAATTGATTTGAGTTTCTTCTACGATACATTTTTATAAAACTTTTCGTAACTTTTAGAATGTGATTCTTTTGGGAGTACTTTACAATGAAAAAAATCTTTCTTTAAACTGATTACGAAGTGATTTCGTCACTAGGATTATTGAATCTTATAACATTTAATAGCTTATAGAATATTAAAAAAATACCATTTCCACTTATGAAAAATGAACGAATATTAACAATAAGTATAAAAATGAATAATACAGAAGGCATCATCTTGAACATGAGTTAAGTATAACAATTTTGTAGTTTATATCCATTTATATTTATCCTACGTCTTCTTTTAAATCTGACGTATTTGAGACAGAAATTCAACTAAAAAAAAACATTAATAATACCACTAGAACATTTACAGTGTGATTTATTTCTCAACGAATCCTTGAAAGAACTCATCATTTTTCGATCTAAAAAAATAATTATTTTTTCTAATATGATTTACAGCAATAAATTTTTACCACCATAAAACTACTCACGAAATCATTGAATAGAGCATTTCCACGGAAAAGTATTATTATCACAAAAAATGTCAATATTGTTGACAGTTTGTATAAATTGTAAATCTAAGTACTAGTTTTTAGAGACAATTAATTTTTTTTTAGTCAGAATAAATATGTAGTGGATTAATTTTCAAAGCTCCAGCTGTTTTTTATTATCCACTGAGTTTATTATTTTCATATTTAATAGGAAATTTTGAAACAAACATTCTACGCAACGGTTTTTTAGTGGTCGACCCTAATTTGATAAATTATATTGTATTATTTTACTTACTCTGGCCATGTGGTGTGGTACAGATGTAGCGCACGTTGATGGAACTAACTCGTGCGTGGTACCGGTTCGCAACCGCAGTAAGAGCCGAGTATGCTCTTGAGAAGAAACGCTTTCGGTCTTTACGCTCAGCAACACTGGCCCAAGTTGATCGTCCGTACCCACAAAGTTGAAGTGTTCCTGAAATAATATAAAATAATAGTCATTTTTAATAATCGGTGTAAAGAGGTAGGCATAAGAAATAAGATAGCAGTAAAAAAGTCATCAACAGCATAATTATATACTTTTTAATTAAGTAAATATTAGGTATACGATAAAATGTATTTAAATGTCACCTTGAATTTAATAACTGTCTCTGTCTATTATTTAATGTTTTTTGGTTTGATTGATGACTTTTTTAATGATTAAATTACCTTGATATTTCATTGTTATTTTTACGTTAGTTAAATAGTAACTTAGGATACTTAATATAATTAAGGATACAATCATTGGTGCTTCATACTATTGAAACTCATTCTCATAACACATTACATAGTTATTATTATGGTAAGTCATATTTGCGGTTACTTTAAACATTAATATAGAATACAAATTGATTTTGGCAAAATTATATTTGGTTAAATGTTTTTTTGTTTAAGTAGAAGTTCTATGGAAATAAAATAAAATCAAAGAGTGCGCATAAAAATGGGAAAACGAAATCAACACACGATATCGTGAGTGTTTCGCAAATGGAAATTACATAATTGACACTCGATTTATTCCCTAGTTTCAATGTCCCTGTCCTTGAATCTTGAAATGTGCATGGTGACCATGGACACTGTGGTAACCATCTACCGAAACGGACAATCAACTGGGTAATAAAGGCATTAAGTCGCTTTCAGAAAACAACATCCGGTAGTCACAACCTCAGAAGGCTTCACAAAAAAAAAAAGGTGTCATGTCACCGTTAGACATGTAACAGTACCAGAAAAAATAAGGTTTTTTCAAAGATTTGATAGAATGGAATTTATGGTAAACTAAATACCGCAAAGAATGTTAAAAGCGCATAATAAGAATTAACGACAACTACGTAGTAAAAAGAAAATTTTTTGACACTAAATATGATTTTTAATAAAATGTGATTACCCACAAAAATTTAAACCATATTAGTTTTCAATTTGTTCATTAGTTTTTTAGTGAGTGAACCTTTATTGTGAAGAATTTGGCAACAATAAAAGAGAAGAATATTAAAAAATAAATGTAGTGCGAAACGAAAGAGTTATGAAAATATTTGTATAAAAATTAATTTAATAAATTATAATAAAGTTTTTATACGAAAAACTCTTAACTAAATTAAAAATAAATAAGAAATATAGAACGAAAAAATAGGCAGTCAAACAACATTGCGTGGTAATTTTATGCGAAAAAAACATAAATATTACAGACGTTAAAATTTTATTACAACAGCATTAGGTTTATTAACTTTTGCGGATACTTTGAGTGACCTGAATATGATTGCATAAAACGTTTTAATCATATTAACGTAAAATTCGTTTTTTGCCGAATATCATAAGACCATCCTCAACATAATAAATCAATATTTATGATTAGATTATTAATAGTTTGTGTTTTGCAGAAAATATAACTATGCATAACACTGATGTATTTTCATGGTACAAATTAAAAACTACAAGTCAATTTTCAGTGAAAGTTTGATGGATAATTTAAAGGTTTAACGAATTGCGAATTGCTTCATACATTTAAATTTTATGATAATACTATCCAACTATTTCTAATTATGGTATAATAAGTGCTTATTATGGTAATCAGATATTAAATGCTTTAGATTAACACTGCTCAGTTAGTTCAACTTAAAATTTAAATAATTTTTAACAAATAAAAATTATTGAAAGTTGTTTAATAGTTTCCGGAAATTATCTTAAAAATACAAATAATCTCAACAAACTGGTTTTATAGAAATTACATGAAATCTTTTTGATTTTATCATTTTTGACGCATAACATAATATAACATACACTTAAAAAATATTATACAGTTCACTAAATATTAACTTTGTCGAAGGCAATATGTGTACTTAATTTTGTCAGACTATTATCGGCTCTCGAGTGCTTTTCAATGTGTGGCTGTGGACCTGTTATGTTTTACTCGCACGTCAATGCCTTGCAAAATAATTTACTTCGATTTTCATACGTAACACACTCGGTAAAAAAAATAGTAACGTCAATTCGAATAACATGAAAAAGAAATCGATATTATTATTTTTACACATACGGCAAAGCGCACACGATTTCGTTATATTATACTATTGAAAAGCAAATAACTGTTAGGGTTTTCTTAAGAATACCAAGTAACCATAAATTAGTTTGTTAAAATAAAAATTTAGCCATAAAATTACTATAGTATTATTAAGGACACAAAAGACTATCCATATTCGATGATATTCGATGATATTTGATTAATTTGTTTTTATATAAGTTTATTGGAGTAAATAATAATGAATCCATTTATATTTAATTTTAAGAGTTTTTCTTATTGATGAAAAACAAATATTATTTACTTAATTGACTGTTTAAAGAAAATTACCACTATTTTTTTATCATAAATAAATAATACTTTGAAAGAACAAATAGCTTTAAATAAGAATAATTTATTTTAAAGAAATCAATTATTTCGTAGTAATTTAAATTCGAAAAAGAATAAAATTATGATTCAATATTAACTCAATTAAAAGTATTTTAATTCGTGATTTTGTATTAATAATTCAAATGGATTCGTTAAAAGAAAATTCTAGCACTGAATCATAAAATATATTTTCAACTTGGGAGGTTGGTTATTTAAAAGAATAATAGCTTTTTATAAAGGTTTTTTTTTGTACTTTTTAAAGACATTATCAATTTATTAGCGTCTGAACTTTAGTTGGTTTATTTTTTAACAATAGATTTTCTAGAATAGATTTTTATAAAATAAAGAAGGTTGAATAATGTAGTCATATATAGGAACTACGGACAAAAACTTAGGTGGTTTTTTACGCTCGGCTAATGATAAATTACTGTGCAGCCGGCCGAATTGCATGAGTGTATAGACGTGACATCACTAAAACGTAAATATTCAAGTCACCCACTATAAAAATTTGCTGCATCGAATATTTTTGTATTCATTCAACCAGACCTACAATTATCTAATGTATAACTAACATATTTGTTACCATAGCAATGCCAACAGTTTAGATCAACGCAATGATAAAATTTAGTATTATTTTTTCTACTGTATCATCTAGGATAATTTTATGTGACCAAGTTTGATTTAATAAAGAAACATTGTTATAAAGAAATCTATATTTTCTGATGCATTGTAGTATTAATAATACTAATACGTTTTAAGGTATTAGACGTTTATAAAACCCGGACGGCTGTTGAAAAAGCTAAAGCAATTTAGGTGTTCGACTATAACTGACATTTCGATTAGGGCATTCAGCGTCAAAGAAGCAGTCAGTGTATTGTGCCAATAAATTGATGATGGCGACAGTTAGACGTTAAAATAATTAATTATAGATTGGGGAAATAGAATGTTAATTTAAAAAGTTTGGGAGTGACTTAAGATAAATTGTCTAAAAAAAGTTAGCTTTATTTGATTTAAAAAGAATTGAATGGAAATATTTACTAACAAATACTTGATTTAAAATTATCTATAACATTAATGTTGTAAAAAATGAAATATTATAATATTTATCCACAGTGATTCGAATATAAGAGACAGATTTTTTCTCGACGATTTAATAACATTGCATAGACTTTATACAAGGGAGCAATTATGTGTAAATGGTCCGGTAGGAATCAACTAAACGGGTAAATTATTTAAATTCTATTGGCGGTATATGCGCGTTGGTCGCAAGTTGTCAAGTGGGTGATCGAGGAATGTTTAGGCTACTACTCACGCACCACTCCTAGAAGAAAAATAACCCAACTACCATTGTATTTTTATTTCAGAGTCGATTTTTAAGTAATTTGCTTATAACAAGGTTTTGCGTGTCATGAAAAGCTGTAATTGTTAGCAATTTTGTCACAGCCGTCAGTCGTGGAGTTAACGACTTTCAATCGGTTTGGAGCATTGACTTTCATTATCTTTTTTTCTTACTTAATTTTATTTTAAGAATGTTGGAGAACTCTCAAAAGTCGTGCACTTGGAAACGCCTTTGTTTATACGCCTACATTTTGCACAAGGTCAGCGAATTTAGATGACAGTATATAATGGTCGGACCGATAAAATAACTGTTCTGACACGAAATACAAAAACTAATCGTTGTCGTAATCGACCAACCACTTCTTAGTAGAATCATTTAATTAGTATATTTTTAGGAACGTGACGATATTGTTAATATTTGAACTTTGTATAAAATAATATGATATTACAATGATGAAAAACACATTTAATGACTTTACTAAGTTCAGACTTTATACGCTTTATGTACACTTTACAATGGTAACTGTGTAGTAAACTCGAATAAATGTGTAAATGCAAGCTTGTTTGTTTTACGCACAGGATGTCTTGGCTCCACCCCATGTAGCTTTACTTCCTTGAATTAAACAAACCAACTGGTTAAGGTATAATATTCATGTTTGTTATCGCTTCTTGCGCCCCCACGTTCTAGAAGTTGTTGGAAAATTATAATAAACCTACGCTCACACACTATTATCAGGGTGTTGAATATTAATCAACAAATTATTTGTGCTAAGGTGCAGCGTTATTTACCAGAAACCTGAGGGTTGGTTGATGTACAAGAGGAATTTTCAAGACCTCCTTTACATTGTTAAAACATAAACACAGAAGAGCAGGGTATGTTAGAAAGAGTTGGACTCACTCAATTATGGAACAATAGACTATCGTAAATAATATAACTATTATACCAGTAAATATTTTTACTGTAAGCAGTGGCCATATGGCAAACACATACGAAAAACAATGGATATTCGTGCAGAAGACGACGCCGACGCGTGACACTACTGTATTAATAAAGTGTAGTATTTTTTTAAACATATATTGTGTTTTGGGGCTATAACGTTTTTCGGTTCAAAATATTACTCAGTGAATTTGACCGTAAACAATGGGCAATGAGACAGTTTTCTTTTTGCGACAATTATGTTATACATTTCTTTTTGAATGGAAGGGTCATAGACCTATCA